CTTTTTTTTCGTTATTTCGTTTTTTTTTGTTTTGTTTTTTTTTGCTTCTGTCCTGCGTGTTTTATTTTAAACACAACTAATTTTCTCTTAAATAAGCACAAACAGTTACTAAAGTAGTCGAATGCTTCAGTCATTCTTTCATTCATATAGATCTGTGCATTCTTACAATAACATCTCTGTTATCAAACAAAACACTGAGATTCATCTGCTGCTCTTCACTAAATAACTATAGTAACTTTAATAAATATGCAAATACAATTAAAAGTTAAATAGATTTTATAGCTTTATTTAATTTCTGTATAAGCCATTGTTTTTAACCTTTTATTCTATTGTCAATATTTTCTATTATGGAAGGGCATAGATGTTATGGAAAATAGTAATAGTAGTGTAACTACCTCCATCATTCCTGCCTCAAGCAAATGTGTGAATATTAGATCTATTCAGTAATAACGTTAATTGCATTGGCATATTTATATGATGTTTTCCCAGCCTGTAGTAGTCGATCAAAAAGCTATTTAGTCTCTTATAACTATACACTAGCAGTGGAATAAACGTGATGTGACGGGGCGCCACCTGAAATCTTGCCTAGGGCGCCAAATTGGTAAGGGCCGGGCCTGTGTGGAAATATATATCTAAAGAGAGCATTAGCTATGTCCTTGATATATATATTGTGTCTTGCTCGTGTAGGTCTTTTGTACAGTGTAAACTCGAGTGCTCTTAAATTACAAAATTTCATCATCAGCAACTCAGCTGGTTAATGCAAAATGAATTACTCATGCATTATTTATATGCAAGTTTGCATTTATAGGGAAAGTTAATTGAATATGAGCTGATTTCCTCATTCACTGTTTCTGATGTCCACTGTGGAGACAAATAAATGCACATCAACACGTGATGCCTTTCATTGCAGGAGTTTATTCAAACGTGTTAATGATTTGTTAAAAAGGTCATAAATGACCCAATACAAAAAGACTGTTAACAAACTAAGCAGACAGAGCAAAGTAAAAATCTAAGCCTTGCTTTGCATTTAAGACACAGGTTTGATCTTCATGGTGATGAATTTCATACCAATATCTAAATTGTTCTTCCAGGTGTACCAAACATTTCCAATGGCAAACACGGTCTTGTCTTCTCCCCCTAAATACACACCATTGAGGTTCGCATAGTGACAGGCTTTATACCAAAATCCTCCTAGAAACATTCTGGCGCAGTTCTTTTCAGTGTTGTCTTGGTCCTTGTCATATGTGGTGAACTTCATTCCATTGTGGAAGATCAGTGAGTCTCCTGCAGAGAAGAAGAACATCATTGAGGACAATAACTCAACAGACATTAGTTTTCTTGAGTGTGAATGAAAGTGTTGTACCTGCTCCTCCATCAGTGAATCCAGAGACCTGCAGTTTATATCCTTCAGCTTCAGAACCCACAGAGAAGGACGAGTACTGAGCGAAACCTCTCCTTCCTTCAAAGTCCTCCAGATCCACTCTCAGCATGAACTTCTTGTGTCGTGTCAGCTGGTAGAGGTTCTCCAGCCCTGTACACACACACACACACACACACATAGACACACACACACATTTGTGAGGACATTCCATATGTTTCTATTGTTTTAATTCTGTACAAAT